GTGGGAAAGACTTTAAAACAAAACTTACAACAGTTACTTTTCTCAACAACTGAAATTTAGAATAGTGTGATTAAGAAAAATATGTGAACTGTTTGCAATTTCAAATTAATATTGAAATGCACAGGTTTAGAATTTTCTACAGTGAAAAGTTTTCGGAACTTCAGTGTTCAAAAAAGTATACAAAAGCTAGGCGTTAAGAACGTATCCAATGAGCAAGCAAAGCGAGCATCGGATTGCAGAGCAATCCGAAATGAACTGCGAAGGTTCTAGCGGGGTTGGCGAGCTCCAATGAGCTCGGGGCGAAGCCTTGTAGATTGATTTATTCCAATCCCCCTTTAATAACTACACATTTAGAAGTAATGGAAATTAAAAAACAATGTGCACTATCATTATCAAAGCTTTTTTATCAACCCCGTGGCAGAATTTTTTGGGGCTTTTTGCGACATACCTCTCTAATACTAATATCTATCTGCAAGATACTTTAAAAAAACAAAACAAATATACATATTAGTAACAAAAGCATCTACTTCATATAAAAAAAAACAAACTTTTCAGATGAAATAAAATAATTTTTTAATTAAATATTTAATATTTTTGTTCTAATATTACGGGCTATATTCTCGCCTTTTGTAGGTACAAAACACACCAATTATTTCTTTTTTCGCATTTAGTAAATCACCATCTCATTAAAAAAAAATTAAATCATTAAATCCGTAGCAGTAAATAGGACTTTTCAAAAAAGGGGTACTAAATGCGCGTTTTCAGTTTGAGATTCAGTTGTAATAAATAATATCATGTTAAAAGTATCTGATTTTAAAGCTATGTGGAAATCGATAGTAATAACTGTATTAAAAAAATTTGAACAAACTTTTCTGCATAAAAGAAAACCAAATTTTTTACTTCGTTAATCTTTATTTTTCGTTGTTTTCAAATGAGAATAGAAAAAGCATTTTTTTCCCCACTCAGATTTGCGAGAAAGGTATCTTTTGAATATAATTCTGAAGAAAAGATAAAATCTTTCGAAAATTTCTGCAGGGAAAAAAAATTCTTTACTTCCCAAAAGAAAAATCTTTCTTCAAGAACTCAGTAACTTTCTGCGACAACGTCGCCGTGATTCTGCCACGGGGTTCATCAATACAAATAATCCCATTTACTCTGATAAGTATAATTTAGGCAGACTGATCAAACAGGTTAGACGGACCAGTTATTAAGTTACCAGTCAAACTTTTTTCAAGTATTGTTGAATTAGTATTTTTTGAAATTTATATCAACAGAACTGGGTTTTTTTTCCTTACAAAATTGTAAAAGACGATCTCTGTACTAGTACCAGCATTAAATCATTGGGGAGATTTCTGCATCATTATCAACAGCAGAAAAATTTGACAAAAGTAGGCAACTTCTGGACAGCAACATGCATGAAATTTATTAAAAAAACATCACAAATGGGGACAAATTTGTAACCCCCTCTGGACAAAACAAACCTGTACAGGTTTTATTTTTAAAAAGATACCTAACAAGTTTAAAATTCATTTGGCGCCTTTGTCACTGTAGTTGGTGAGAAAGATCAAGATACAGAAATAGTCCCAAAATAATCAATAGTAAGCTTTAGCGATTGTAGTTGATATCAGCAGGCATCAAAAAAAAGTCCTGGTACTTTTCAATTAGCTAAGTGGAGAGAAATTCTATCATTAAAAATTTCTTTTACTTTAATAAATTTTTTGTGAACATCAATTAGGTTCAGTCAAAAGTCATTGGAAGACAATTTTTTGGCAACTTCTCTCTTGTGCCTGTTTTTCATTATGAGTAATAATATCCTCAATTTTAGTGCGATCAGAAATGATACAATGTAGGGGTGATCCAAATCAAAGTTCAAATAATTGCACATTTGGCTAACAGAAGTCTGATACCCAGCTTTGAACTGAAAAAATTTTAAATTTAAAAGACTACTTAAAAAATTATAAATAAACTTTAATTTTTCTTCTGTTTACAGTTTTAGTTGATTACATAAAACTTTCCTCAACAGTTTTCACTGTAAATAGAAATAAAAACTCAATGAGAGCCTTTTACTATACCAATAAAAAAAATTGGAATTGGTTAAAGCGCATAAGATTGATTGACATGCTACAGGAGAAAAAATGTAATTAAGTTTAAAAACAAACAAAGGTAAGTTAAATAATGTTTAACAGATCAGGAAATGAATTAAAATTTATTATTATACCTATCAACAAACACATCAATGCCAAAATTGACTACGAACATGAAATAAGAAATTTATTAGTACAATAATTAAAACTAGTGAATAAGGGTTTAGAAGGATATTGGCATATCTACCAACTACAACTGTTGTTTTAATACTAACTTACCCCTTTTTACAATCCATAAATAATAACTGCCAATAACATGAGATAAATTATAGTAATTTACTTTGGATAATTTCAAAACTGAATATTTATTATTCAGGAAAATCAATTAGTAACAAAATAACGCTTTATAATTAAATAAATGGCAAGATATTCAGACCCCATAATTTTAAGGGCAATCAAGCACATCACAAAATAATATTTGCAAAACAAATTAATAAATATTATATAATTTACGTTTCACAAAGTAAAATGTTAATAGAAAAACAGTAGGGATAAAATCTCTGCCAATTCTCATAAGAACAACATAAATGTTGCTTAGTAAACAGAACGAAATTTGCACTGCTTATAGTAGACGTTAACAATAGAATTTTCACAAAAATTTCGGTCTATTGTTATGAAGTTAATCTCAAATTTCACTAGATTCTAATATTTCATTTTGATGTAAGCAATCAAATAAAGCTAGTATAATTATTTAGCAATTAAGTCGAGTTCAAATACTTACCTTTTAAAATCTCGCATAAGTCGTCTCCGAGCAGGAGTAGACATTATTCCGTAACTTTAGTGTTTGTCCAACAATTTGAATAGAAATATAAATAGTCCACAATTTTTTAAAGTAATATAAATGTATTTTTACACAAAAAAGTTGCTAATTTAATCAAAAAAATAATATAAATAGTAGCTTGAGCAACCCTGTCACCTTTCTAGTGTTCACTCGATAGTTCTTCTTCATGTGACGTCATAATCCGGGAATCGAAATACGTCAACACAAAATGAATGACTCAATCAATTTTCGTTACTTTTTTTAATGAAATAATTATAATAAACTGATGCAAACAATACATTTAAAAGTAACAATTTTAAAGCATCAAATCATTTAATTGTATAATTTTCAAGATTTTAAGCAAATGCTAAATTCCTTAAACAATATTTTTACTACTACTTTAACTTCTTTCAAACTCAAGGTCGAAAAAAGCTAATAGATGGCGCATCGTTAAATACTTTTCCTATGGCAGCAATAGGATTTTCATTCTCCCTCAACGGTCATCGGAAGTGCGTCAACAGCATAAAATGAGAATGGCCCTTATGAACAAGTGGATAAATAAGACAAGCTTATGATTTAATTTTGAAGCATTGTAAATAAAACACTTTTAGAACTTTCAGAAAAAATCTCGACATTTTTAAAATAGATGAAAAACAATCAAAAAGAGCGTGTAATATTTAAATAGTAGTAGAACTATATTTACGTCACACTCCAGCTGCACAATGGACTATAACGCCATTATCATTGCTTGCTATTCACGTATACTTCCGATCACCGTAAAGAGAGAAGGAGAGTCTGATTAGTGAATTATTTTCTTTCCTGAGAAATGCACCAGATTCTCCTTTTCTCACGACGATAATCGGAGGTAAGTGAATCGCATCCAGTGTGAACGACCCTTATTAGTGATGGTTTGGAAAACATCCGTGGGAATGATTCGAAAGTATCATCCCGATTTTCATCCTCTGCAGGGAGTGGTTCCCACGTTTTGGAATTCTAACACCTGTACACGAAGTCAAGCACTTCACACTTGCATAGTTCAAAGAGGACCGATAACACACACCCTCTGTTTCTCTGCAGGCTGCTCAAAATGGTCCCAACTCTATCTATGACAGAACTTTTCTTGTTAGCACCATTAGCGTGTATATAGTCAAAAGGAAAGGAAGTACGTTAGTTTCTGCCTTGATTTTCTAACGGATTCGAATTTGTTAAATTAGGAAACTATACGATACAAAAGGCTGCATTAAACATAGTTCTTAAAGAAAACATCGTAAGAAGATTGAAAAAAATATTTTTGACAGTTAAATAGAAAAAATATTATGGAAGGAGAAAATATCTTATAGTATACTATTTTGCAACTGAGTAGAGGTAGAAAAGGAAGGGAGAGAGTAAAGACATGGAACCGGTTTTCTCCCCAGATGGCATATTCGATCATTGTGATGCGTATGCGTATTCAAAAAAATTAAACATGAATCCATAATAGAAGTTTCTGCCATTACATACAATATTTTAGAATGATTGCCTTAATTGGCAGAGGGAAAAAAATTTTAATGGTAGATAGGTACTTTATTTACGTCGCACTAGAGCTGAACAATGGGTTATTGGTGACGGTCTGGGAAGCATCCCTGAGGATGATCGAAGATATGTCATCGCAATTTTTATTCTCTATTATTTTTATTATTTTAATGTAGAGTGGAACTTCTAAAATGGTGTATTATTAGTTTGTCTTCTCTTACAAAACAAAAACTTTCAGTTTCTTCGTATAGACACCCCTATCACAAAAAATAACGAAGTAGTTTATCTCATTTTTCTGACATTTTTCTTACACACTCTTATTTAATCATCAAGACTCGTATAGTAATTATCATGTCATTATAAATGGCATTATTATTTTTCTCTTAACTAATAGTTTATACTTTTTTTTATTAATGTTGGTAATACAATATAATTGGCAATATAAATCATGAATTTAACAGCTCTGAACTAAAAATTATTATTTCATTTCACTGAGCCAGAAATATATATAACAGAACCAAGATTTTACGTTCTTTTTCGGACTAGCGTTACAAAATGTACCAAACGATAATACTTGAAATCGGTAAAAAAGAATGTAAAACTATTTTTCAAAAATTGACGCTTACGAGATAAACTATTAAAAAAATTAATGTAATCATGACTTGCTTTTCGACACAAATTTCAGCAATAATTCTCTCAGTACTTACTATTATTTACAAACTTGCTTTTTCTTTTACATTCGCAAATAAATATTCTTTCAGAGTTTTTACGATTTAAAAATCTTGACCAGGTGTGGGTATATCATCCGAAACATCAGCAATACGACTCAAACGATGTCTTGAAGATTTTTATAGTAATGGAGAATGGCCTTATGCCGTCTCCTGCAATTAGGGTCATCTGGGTCGTAGTTAGAGGAGGACCATATAAGGGGGTTGGAGTGTCCAGTGCTCTTAAGGAAATACTTAAGAGATCTATTTTTGTATAAGTCAAGGAAGCTAGGCGTACAGGTGTCATTATGGGTATTTTTGTTTCTGAAATACCAGGGTGAATTTGTGATATTGCGGAGGGTTTGGTTATAAGCACTTTGTAAGAGATTAAGATTTGTCTTTGCAGCCCCCCCCCCTCGAAGGTGGGTGCTGCATATGTTAATAGGGAAGTGCGAAGCATTTTAAAAATTAAAATTCCGTTATTAGTGCTGAGGGAGTTCTTTTTTAGAATAGGATAAAGTGCACATTTTGCTGCTGTGAATTTGTTTTTAACATTTCTAAAATGATATTTGAATGTCAGGGTTTTATCCACAATGACACCTAAGTACGTGGCCTTCGTTTCCCATTTGAGAGAGAAGTTGTTATCAATGATAACATCCTTCTTGTAGCTCCTTTTTCTGGTGAATAGCACCGCCTGAGTTTTGTTATAACGAATACTAAACAAAGACTTCTAATGATTCAATATATATCAACAAGGAATCTTACCTTGTTTCGGCTTCTTGTTGCCTTCACCTAGTATTCTCTTCCAAAGGTGTTCTCCCTGTGGAGTGGCAACCCTGTAGTAGCTTAAAACATTATTGATCGGAAAATTAGTGACTATTCTCTTTTTTCCAGTGAAATGAACTTATATTAAATTAATATAACTATAATTTAAAGCATAAAATATCTATCAACATGTGTAGTTAATTAAAATATGCAAGTATCAATGCAATTTTTTAAATTTGAGCAAATTCAGTACTTTATTCATCATCACAATACAATTTGTGCTGTCTGAACATAGCATAACAGAACATTAGTTACAGTCAACCTATTTCGAATTTTAGAATGTACAAATGAAAAATTTGAAAACACTCTTTCAGACTACTAGAACGACATGAGTGTAAATGAGACGTTAATTCACAAAATTCTCTGGAAATTTCACAAGAATTTTGCACACTACGCCACCATTTACTAGCATCATTGAGGTCAAAAACTTTCAATCGTTTAAAAATTATTACCCTTATATTAATTAATATTTTAAAAATAATTTTCTCATGTAATGTATCAAAATTATTATTCCTTATGATTGAATTAAATTTGATTCAAGTATTTTGTAGTAATATTTAACCAACAATTCAGAAAATTTGTTTTTTTGCCGGTTTTAACCATTAAGTCGGTTTTTACCAGTTTAAGTCGGTTTTTACCAGTTTAAGTCGGTTTTTGCCAGTTTAAGTCGGTTTTTACCAGTTTAAGTCGGTTTTTACCAGCTTAAGTCAGCTTTTACCAGTTAAAGTTGGTTTTTACCAGCTTAAGTCAGCTTTTATCAGTTAAAGTTGGTTTTTACTACTTTCATGACAAAAAACCCTTTTTGCTGGCAAAAACTCCAACCCAGCTTAGCGATAATTTAGGAGTAGATTACAATACAGAAATATTCAAAGCGTTATAAACCCAGAATCATTATAATGGCTGCCACAAGCATGCAGTTAAAAATGTGCAATCACACTTAATCTTGTGTATTGAAAACAGATTATATGAAACGCTAATACGTATGTATCAATAAAACCGATGATATTTCTTTTTTCGTGTTGGCACCAGTTTTCATTTTTAATTGATAGGCTTCGGAGAGCAAGAGCACATATTGAGCATCATGTGGCTTATCTATATTATATAAAACGCTAATACGTT